AATCTTTCAAATCGAGTTATAAGGTTTAGTTGGTCTAGTTGGAGTATCATTAGAAAACACACTGTGCTAGATGAGCTGTATTTGCTCTATTTGAAGTGCATCATTAATAGAAGCACACATTTAGTCTTAGGCATACCTTTTATGTGCTACTAATTGATAAGTATTGAGGAGAGGGCAGTGGCTTGTACAAAGATTCTGTGTTTAATAGTTAGATAATGTATATCACTACACACAAAGAAGTCAAGTAACACAACATAGGATTTCACTTTGAAATCACAACAAAAAAATCATCTACATAGAATGCTTTTACCTCATAAAGTGCGACAGAGCCAGTGACCTTATTTATTTAAGAAACACACCCAAGAGTGAAAATTAAAATAAAATTAATGAATGTATAGGCAGTGATTCACCTCATTAATATGCAGGATGGGTTAATTATTATTGTATACAGTGAATTTCTCTGTGGACCTACAGTTAGAATGTTACTATACTTTAAATGCAAGTCACACACAGGAAAGTAAACAAAATTAAAACCTTACCTGATTTTCATATTGTCTAGCAAGATGATAACATGCTGCTCTGTCTCCTGTTTCATTACAAATCTCAGCTGCCTGTCAATCAAAGCAAAACAAGTCAGTGATGGAATAAATATTTTACCGTTCTTATTATTTATGAATCACAATAGAGGTATATTCAGAATACTTTTAATATTTTTGGGGAATAAAGGATAACATACTGTCCATTATTACGTGGTAATAGGACAAGGATGGGGATGTAGGCAATAATGGGAAAGTACTGTTATTTTAAGAATAAGAAATAACAGCACCATATTGGATGCGAAGAATGGTCTATGGCAAGAAAATGTGAGACAAAGCCATACACATTGTGTCTAGAACCCTCTCTGAATCCAATATGATGATGGGGGAGATTCATTATTGTTGTTTATAAATACAGGACCTTTTTTGTTGAAATGAACTTACTAGTGAACGGCAGTAAACATTATCATGTGATAATACTGGTGGGTTTGTTGTTTAAATTATTCATACAGAGGTGGAGGAAAACCGACTGTTGACATGTCACACACATATTCTTGTTTGTACAGTCAAACCTGTCTATAGCGGCCACCCAAGGGACTTTAAAATTTTGGCCTTTATAGACAGGTGTCCTTTCTATACAGGTTCACTAATTTATTCATGAATATTAATTAGGCACTGAATCAATGTATTAAAACAGATCTCACAACCCCATTTGACACACACTATTACACTACTGTACACAGTATCCAAACACTTTATTACAAATAAAAAATGTTGGTTTTAAATTGTATTATGTAAACTAAAATCATTTCACAAAAAATGATCATTGCACAATAATGAGTAGTATGAAAATTAAATATTTGAAGATTTGTACAGTAAAGTTCATGTTCAGCAGCAGTTTTAGTCTCATATCCTACTAAAGAAATCACTCAGCTTGCTTTGCTTAGCTATTCTGAATTTGTATGTTTCTTTTAATATCTATTGTGTCTGGCAACTGTTCTAATAAATCGGAGTGTCTCTGGGCTATAGCAAAGGAGAAGGAAGAGGGACAGTTAGCAGTGCTTTATTGATACCTACAACGTCACGTATACGAAAAGAACACTTATCTATTGTAGTGATGGATCTACTTCCAGTTACGTGACAACTTGAAAGTTTCCTCCCCAATCACAATTCCCTTAACATTCTGTTCATTTTTTTTCAAAAATCTTCTCGGCCTACCTTACGAAATGGTTGATCCCTAATCAAAACATTACTTTGCGCAATCGAAATCTGTGCGACTTCCATGTTATTGTACTGATGCAACAATAGGAAAGTGTGAAATATGCCTGGCGACTTTGGCCAGTGAACTGAGGTCAATTTAACATCATTGTTAAAAGCATCTATTGTTAAATGTACCGAGGCAGTACCGACCGAAAGAACAAAATAGTTGAATGAATTTAGTTGGACAACGAGACGATACTGCGCACACATTCCCTCGCAGTGATCGATAGGCAGTAACGGAAGCGACTCTACTTTTTGACCCGAGTAATCATAACCCCGGAAGAACAAGAACGCACATGCGCAAGGCTAATTAGCATAATTTATTTGGATGGATAAAGAACAGGCATGGCCGTTGCGTTGATTTTTTTCGTTTTTGCTATCAGTTCCAGTTACATACATTTATCGAGATTTATAGGAGTTCAAAGTGAATAAATATCGATACTAAATAACAAGTGAGTTGTTATGTTTTTTTTGTTGGTAATCAATTCGATCGGGGATTTACCGTCGGCATTCCAATTCACCCCAGCCACATGGATAGGAATCGTGACTGTGTCCCGGCGACTCACAAAACTTTTGCGGGTCGTCATCGTTGTGGTTGCTTGATTCATTCATTGAACAAAATTGTAAGTTATTCCCATGGTATACATATTTCAACAAAACATTAATGACAGCATGTTTTTTTTATCAAGACACTTTCAAATTCTTAATTATGTTTTTGGCGTTCCACAGCCATCGGTACGATGTGCTTGCCGTGGTAAACTGAATTATAAACAAGAATAAAACATAATTGCCGAAGCCATCGGTTGAATGAAAGGTGTGAAAACGTGCTAATTTTGTCCCTTGTGAGCTTATTAGTTGTCTGAGATTGAAGGCAGTAGTCTGCAAGACATCCGGGAACTATGTCCGTTATATGCAGGTCAACTGATCACTGCGGCCGCTGAAACGTGGCCGTTGGCCGCATTAGGCAGGTGGCCACTATAAACAGGGTACTTTACATGTAAAATTCGTAGGGACTGTTCGGTTGTGACCGCTATAGGCAGGTGGCCGCTGTATCCAGGTGGCCGTTAACACAGGTTTGACTGTATGTTTGTGCATTGATCTCAAGCGTAGCCCTGATTATAATCTGATAACATGGCTGCCTGTAGTATCGATGAAAATTTATGCAGCATTTCATAATAAGGCACTGACACTGTATTGTAATCAGATGTACCGAATGAATGCAAAAACACACTTACTTTCTCCATATTACCACAATAACAGTATACTCTACACAGGGATAGGAAATCTTGAGCAGCTTCATAGAATTGTAATGAGGTTTCCATTTCTCCTGTAC